AATTATTTGTATTGATTTTCTCATCTGAAACTCTTTCACTCCTTAAGAAAACAGCCATTCTGTCACCAGTAGTTAAATTTGCTCAAGTGTCTTCTATCATTAAGTAAAATATAACACAACACAACACACCATGGCTCTTTAAACCTCCTTTAAATAATTCTGTTTCTGTCCTAAATAAATTTTACACTCCCTAGTTTTTGTATGCATAAACATACACACAAAATACATACATATATTTATATTTATATATTGAAAATATTATAGAGCATTAAGAGATATATGTTCAGCTTGTAAAAAAATTGAGCTCTACACATAAAGTTCTATTAGCATAATTGTTGAAAAGTAGCCCAAGCAGTACTTACAGGGATATTTATTGCATTAAATAGATTTCCTATAAAAATGAAACATTGTAACAATTCAAGAAGCTAGAGAATGAATAGCATATTAAACACAAAGAAGAAGGTAGGAAATAATGAAGATAAATTCAAAAGTGATAAATGAGAAAATAGTCGAACCAACTAGTAAAAGCCAGTTCTTTGAAAAGATTTATATAACAATGTGTATGAGTATTATCAATTACAAATGAAAAAAGCAGAAATAAATGATATTAGATAAGTAAAATTATACAAAACTTAGGTGTAGAAAAGATGTAATGCTAATAGGGGACACTGTAAGTATTATCTGTATCTCAGGATAACAAATGATGGACAAGGAGGAGGTTCTATCTGAAAAATTTTAGGTAACAAACTCAAAAGAATTTTGGAATCAGAGAATTACCATCTTGCAACCCGTGACAGATAAAAGGATAAAAGTGATGGCTGCCAACATCATCACAAAGGAAATAACAGAAATTATCTATCTCTTAATGAAACTGTACCGTATCACCTCTGGGGTGCACTTGCCAATAAACTTTAATATGAATAATATTCTACTTATAAAAATTGAAGATTATTCATGACAAATCTTAGCTAATTGAGTTCATTATTCTATTCGCTGTACTATTGCATATATTTGAGAATTTCCATAACAGGATTTTATTATGAATATAATGCTTTTAAATATGAAAACCTAAGTAAAATGGAACAATTTTTAGCAAACTGAAAATGACTAAAATGACCCATAAAATTACAGAACTCTTTGAATGCACAGTAGAAACTGAAACTATAGTGCAAACCCAAAGTACCATCAAACTGTTTTAGGACCAGGCAGGTTTAGAGACCCATTACATCAAATGGTGAAGAAGAAACTAGTCACCACTTCATGTAAACTCTTCCAAACAACACAAAAAGATTGGGAGAATTACTCCATCATTTTCACAGGCTTGCTTTCATTGACACAAAGACCAGATGAAGATATTCCAATAAAATAACATTTGAGACAAGTTCATTCACATAGAGACAAAATATTCTCAATAAATTCATAGTATATCCAATAGAGGCATATCCAATATAGCAGTGAATTAATGAATAGCCTGTATCCAAGAAATGAAAAGATGATATCATATTAGAAAATACTATCAATTGGAAATCACTGTTACCAAAAATGGTGAAAAAGCATGTGATCGTGTGCAGGGGTAAAGAAAGAGCCTTAAAAATCCCTCAACACCAGTGCATGATAGTAACTTTTAGCAAACTTACATTAGGAGAGAATTTCCGTCTTGTAAAATCTATAAATTGACATACTGAATGTGAAACATTACAAACACCCCAAATAGAGTCCAGAAGAATATACACCTGTATAATATAAACCCTACTGCTGACAATTGGATGAAAATACATCTATAGTCCACAACCATAATAATACCAAGTAAATTAGAGGTAACAATAACAAAAGGAGATAATTGTGATAATAGAATCTCCTATTAAAAAAAAAACACAAAACAACGTAATTGGTGCAAAAATATTTAAATGTATAAGGAAATTAAGAAAATGTGTGTACAAAAGATCACTATAGGTAAGTCAGGAGTATAGTCACACAAAATCAATAACTAATTATAACATGTAATGTGAAATATGCCTTTCACAACAGCAACAATATCCAAAATATATCTAACAGAAAACCAAATAGAAATGTACATGTTCATTAAGGAGACAGCTATAAAAATTTACTGAAAGACTTAGGAAAAATAAGTTTCCAATAAAGCAGTATACTATGTTTATTTACTGTGGAGGAGATATTGTAAAGATGTTGATTCTCCTTAAAATGTTTACAGATTCACTGCCTTAGCCATAGCTGTGAAAATGACAACCAAACCTGGGCGGTTCTTTCCCATGACCAAACTCAACCATACAGAAGTTAAAGGAAGAATTAAAAAAAAAAAAAAAAAAAAAGGCAATATTAACAGCAGCAAACAAAAATGAGATCCCTGAGAGACGGTCAGTTTATATTGAACAAGAACTGGTGTGTTGGCAGCTAGGGGCATGCACTGAAGTAGAGACAGGTCTGTAGCCTACAATAGAGGCAGATAACGGAATTGGCTAGAGAAAAAGCTTTAAAACTTTGGTCTTTGCTTCCTTCGCTGTGCCATTGCACAATGCATTTTTTTTTTTCTGCTTATCTAAAGGAAATTCAGTCAGGAACTCAGACCCTATGTGCCAGTTCCATGGGGTAATATTGGGACAGCAAAAACTTCTGGGTAGGCTGAAGAAGTATGAATCCAGACACTATGCTAACAACCACCTGAAACTTCTTTAGTGGAAGCAGACTGGCCTTTAAATTCGTATTATTTTAATATAATATAAAGAATGGACTAAATTAGGATAGCAAAGATTGCAGTGAGTCACACAAGATAATAGTAGAAATTCACTCATGAAAGTGTTGAATACAGACACTGATGTCAGCCAAGAGAGAAGTCCCAGACATAGTTGTCAGGCTAAGAAGTCCTCTCACTTTCTCCTTATGAATTTTACAGGATCTAGTCAGAGGAAGGGGATGAATTTACATCAGAAAATGGAGAAAACTGAGACACTGCCAGCAGTCAATGTGAGGACCCTGAGTGAGGACTGAGGGGCTCCATACATCAGAAGAGACAAGAGTGCCCCCCAAATCTCCCTTCATTCCCTGATCTTGCATCACAACTTAATAGCCACAGCCAGGTTTAGGAGGCCCCAGGCAGTAGTGGCCAGGTGAGGTGTAACTGCATTTCACATGAGGAGTCTCAGGAAGTTGAAGTCTAGTCTGAGAGGGTGTCCTCAAGTCACTAGAGGGGGCATGGCAAGAATGAAGCCACGACACTGAGTAAGGGATGAGGGCAAAGTTCATTACAAAAAGGGGGTCCCACAGAGCCCCACCCCTACCATCAGTCTTGGAAGGTCCCGGCATGGCTTCTGGGCTCAGGCTGCACCTTACTTCCTACTCTGAACTCTCAGGGAATGAGAGCATCTATCTCAGGTTGACTGATTCAGCTCAACAGATAGAGAAGTCCAAGTGTCCACGAAAAGCCCCTGAAAGAACTTCACGTGACTTCCCTGCAATCTGCTGCACCCACAGAACACAAGGGGGAGTCACAGAGCCCCGCAGCTGCTGTTACGCTGGGAGGGCCAGGTGGGCGTGGCCGGAAGTGGTTCCTCCTGACTTCCACCTAGAAAGGGGTCTGAGCAGGACGCCTCAGTCTGAAAAGTGCTGTGTCACGTCAGCGGAAGGAGGTGTCCCAGATCTTCTCAGCTGTCTTGGTGGGTATCCTGACCTAGAACTGGGGGGGCATTCCCCAACTTCAACCCCTTCCCCCTAAAAATGGCGGCTCCACAGAGCCCTGCTCCAACCTGCCCCGAGCTGGTCCCGGAGGAGTCCCCAAGCATGGCTGTTAGGCCCAAAGTCCATTCATTTTTTCCATCATGTTGTAGAACATGAAGGCCTCGGTCCAAGGCTGGTGGACGTAGGTCAGTAGAGGGAGAAATCTCAGACCCTACATAGTTAAGAGGACCCTCCTTAGGATTGAGGGAACTCCATGTACCATAACGGGTTGCACCGAACTCTGCCCTTGACGTTAGCCTGGGGGTCTGGGCAGGTCTCTAGAGACTGAGGTGCATTCTCACTTTGTCCCTGTGAAAGTCAGAGAGGTAGGCCCCTGCCTGTAAGGAGATGGCAGCAGGTCAGTGAGGGCGATTTCCAGGTTGTGGGAAGAGTCAGGGTGAGGAGTCTAATTACCGTGAGGACCGTTCTCACTATAACAGGAAGAGCACTAAAATGCCTCTGCTGTTGTCAGCCCTAGGCGGTCTGCGTGTCCCCGGAGTGAAGTGTTGGGCAGAAGTGCTTCCTTATTTCCTGCTGGTTAGTATTGTAAAAATTCCTAGTGTCAATTTCAGAGCGGCACAGGGAAATGGGCCTCTGGGTCTTGTCAACAATTTTTTTTTTTTTTTTTTTTTTTTTTTTTTTGAGACGGAGTCTTGCTCTGTGCCCCAGGCTGGAGTGCAGTGGCGCGATATCGGCTCACTGCAAGCTCCGCCCCCCGGGTTCACGCCATTCTCCTGCCTCAGCCTCCCGAGTAGCTGGGACTACAGGCGCCCGCCACCACGCCCGGCTAGTTTTTTGTATTTTTTTAGTAGAGACGGGGTTTCACTGTGTTAGCCAGGATGGTCTCGATCTCCTGACCTTGTGATCCGCCCGCCTCGGCCTCCCAGAGTGCTGGGATTACAGGCTTGAGCCACCGCGCCCGGCCCTTGTCAACAATTTTAATGATGATCCTGAATGTAAACAGAGAGGATCCGACCCCTGAACAGAAGGTCATCCACTGCCAGCCGGTGCTGTCACCTCAATAAGCCCCAAAATGGGCTGTCATTCTAGAGCCTAATACTCTAACTTCCTCCTGAGTTCGAAGGAGACAAACTGATCAGGAGAACAGGAGTCGTGTGGGTTCCTAGAGCAGTTATTTTGCAGAAACCTGCAGAAGGGGCGCTAGTTAAAGCCAAGATGGTCACTCTCAGCCGAAGGTATTGACGTGACATCACTCTCTCCCATCCAGGTACCAGCCTTCCCAGTCTTCTTACCCACACTCAGCCATCATGCCTCGGGGTCAGAAGAGTAAGCTCCGTGCCCGTGGGAAACGCCAGGAGACCCATGGTCAGCCGCAGGGTCTCACAGGTCCCCAGGCCACTGCAGAGAAGCAAGAAGAGTCCCACTCTTCCTCATCCTCTTCTCACGATTGTCTGGGGACTCGTCGTAGGTCTTCTGATGCCTCCGTTCCTCAGGAATCTCAGGGAGTGTCACCCACTGGGTCTCCTGATGCAGTTGTTTCATGCTTAAAATCTGATGTGGCTGCTAAGGGCCAAGATGAGAAAAGTGCAAGCACCTCCCCTGAAGCCTCCATTCCTCAGGAGTCTCAGGGAGTCTCACCCACTGGCTCTCCTGATGCAGGTATTTCATGCTCAAAATCTGATGTGGCTGCCAAGGGCCAAGATGAGAAAAGTGCAAGCACCTCCCTTGAAGCCTCCATTCCCCAGGAGTCTCAGGGAGCTTCACCCACTGGCTCTCCTGATGCAGGTGTTTCATGCTCAAAATTTGATGTGGCTGTCGAGGGTCAAGATGAGAAAAGTCCGAGCACCTCCCCTGATGCCTTCATTTCTCAGGAGTCTCAGGGAGCCTCACCCACTGGCTTTCCTGTTGCAGGTATTTCAGGCTCAAAATATGATGTGGCTGCCAAGGGTCAAGATGAGGAAAGCGTAAGAGCCTCACAGAAAGCCATCATTTTTAAGCGCTTAAGCCAAGATCCTCTAAAGAGGAAGGCGTGCGCATTGGTGCAATTGCTGCAGGAGAAGTTTGAGAAGAAAGAGTCCATTTTGAAGGCAGACATGCTGAAGCGTGTTGGTAAACGTTACAAGCACTACTTCCCTGAGATCCTCAACACAACCTCTGAACGTTTGGCAGTGGCCTTTGGCGTTGAATTGAAAGAAATGGATTCCAGCGGCGAGTCCTACACCCTTGTTAGCAAGCTGGGTCTCTCCAGTGAAGGAATTCTGAATGATGCTAACGGGCTGCAGAAGTCGGGTCTCCTGATGTCAGTCCTGTGTGTGATCTTCATGGAGGGCAACCGTGCCACTGAAGAGGAGGTCTGGGAGTTCCTGAGTTGTTTGGGGATCTATGCTGGGATGACACACCCAATCTATGGGGATCCCCAGAAGCTCATTACTGAAGATTTGGTGCAAGATAAGTACGTGGTTTACCGGCAGGTGGGCAACAGTGATCCTCCACGCTATGAGTTCCTGTGGGGTCCACGAGCCCATGCTGAAACCACCAAGATGAAAGTCCTGCGTGTTTTGGCCAAGAGCAATAAAACCAGTCCTGGTTTATACCCACATCTGTATGAAGACGCTTTGATGGATGAGGTAGAGAGAGCATTGAGACTGAGAGCTTAAGGCAGAACTGGCACTATTCCCTTGGCCAGGGCACCTTATGGGGCCACATCCTACAGATCCTCCCATTTCTAGGGAGGTCTGAAGTAGAATTTTCGCTTTATGTTAGAAGAGAGTAGTGAGCCTTCTAAGTACTGCAGTATAGTAGAGGCCGGAGGGAACAAGATATACCTCTTTCTTTTGTCTTGTTATACATGAGTAACTTGTAGATTTATGTTTTATTTCTTTGTCAATTTTCAAGATTGTTTCTGTTAAGTGAAGGTTTATTTTGCTTCAGATTATACAGTTATCAAAAACATAGCTCTCACATTCATGGCCGTTTAACCAATTTGAAAGTTACGGTTTGGGTATTAATAAAACAAAATCACACAACATATTTTCGTTGTAATTCAGAACTAGATAACATGGTAATAGAAAATGGATTTTGATATGAATTTTAAGAACTCCACAGTAAAATAGTTGACATCATAATATGACGAGAAAGAAAAGGAAAAACAGAAATGTAAAAGTTGTTTAATTCTTGGTTTGCCTAATTCCTTTTCCTATTTCTTTTAGTATAAATAAAGGATACCTGGATTTATTTAGGTTATTGAGACTGCCGTTTGTTTTGTTCTAGTGCACTTCATATTCTATGTTATCTACTGCATCAAAAAGCCTTTCTGATTACAGGGTGGTATTTTCTTGGTTTAAAATCATCACATGAAATGCAGTGATCAATATAAGCCAGAATGAGTTCACTAAAAACGTTCTTGAAAAAAGGCGGCTACATTCAAAGAACTTGCATAGGCTTAAATTGTCCCAAATATTTTCAAGATGTGGTAATTTTGTTTCTTAATATATCGTTAGGAAAATTAAAAATTAATAATTTGTGTAAAAACACATACTATAGTAACTGTCATTTGTGACAGACTCAGCATTTCCTACTTAGTATGCCATATTTTTTATGGACAGTATTTATACCCCAAAATTCCTACAAGATGGGGTTTAGCAGACTCACTTCAAAATGAATAAATTGCACATTTCTAAAAGCTCACAAGCTTCTAATTGACAGAGCTGGGATTAGATCTCTGTTCTGGATTCATCTAGAGCCCACATTTTCCAGTCCTCTCAGCCTGAGCCAGACTTTGTGTCTTTTAATTCATTTTTCCTCTCGCTGCCCAAAATGCTTATCAGAGCATTAAAAGGACACCGTACCCAAAGCACTTCTTTGGAATATACAACTAGAGTAATCATAATGCTGAATAAATGAGTAGTATGAATTGCTAAAAGAAAAAATAATACACAGTGACAGTATGATCATCTGGATATGCAACATCAGATAACCCAATAAGATCAGGAGCTCCCCAAATCATCCTGCTCTGCCCTTTCCCCATAGAAATTAAATATCCTCAAAGCAAAGTACATAATAGGCTAAGTCTGGCTGGCAAAGCAAAGAATAGATCAGTGTGCTTTTTTCACTGACAGCCCACCACCTGTCTGGGGCCTCCTGCCTTGTGGTACAGCTTCCCTATCTCGTACAGAACCTGGGACAGGGAGCCATTGTCTGCAAGGTTTGCAGTAGGGAACCTGCTCAATTGTTTGCAGGTGTGTGACATTTCCCAGCAGGCTTAAACAGAAAGGAGGCATGATGAGAACCCCCATAAATGAGGATTCTGGAGCTCACTGCCTCAGAATATCGGGGTCACTGAGAGACCAGGCCCTGCCTACTCTCAGATCTAGAAGGCCCAAGCTATAGCAGCAAGCTAAAATTTCTCTATTTATTCAAGATTCTCAGGTACATAAGAGTCCTGGTCTAAGGGTGGTGTGCTCTGGTTATTGGGAGGAGGATCTCAGCCTCTGAAAACTATCAAGAAGAGGACTCTGAATGAGAAATGAGGAATAATCCACCCAGAACAGTAGGGGCTCTTAAAGCTTTATCTTGCTTTCTGCCTTGGGTGGCCATAGGCAGGGCTATCTGGTTGAGGCTCCTCCTCATTTTCTCTAGGGCTTCTACAGGTGCCCCAGGGAGATAAAGGCTTTGATCTCATGGCAGTAGCTCCGATTCTGCCCATGAAGGAGATCCTCACAAGCCTGGATTGGATTTAAGGTGAGGACACTGGGGTAGCCAAGGAGTAGCACCCTGACTTCCCCCTCTGGTTTCTCAGTAAAGAAAAAGCTTTGACTTAAGGCTGGCAGACTCAGCTTAGTAGAGGAAGAAGTTCCACATCCCCAAATCAATGTTAGACCCTGAGTGAGAACTGAGGGAGCCACTGACTCCAAAACAGTGGAATCTTGTCGGATTCTGACCCTGCTATTATTCCTCAGAGGATCCTCAATAACTGTGGCCAGATGTGGCTGTTCCTAACTTCCAATTGGGAGATTCCAGGAAGATATGGCCTTGGTCAGAGGAGTGCAGCCTTGAGTCAGTGGAGAGTGGAGTTTCAGATTTCATTAGGTAGCAGTCAAGGTAAAGATGCTGAGGGAGGATAGAGGAGACCACTCACCCAAGAACAGTGGGAATGCAGTGTCCTGTCCCTATTGTCAGCCCTAGGAGGACGAGGGTAGAACTCTCAGACTGAAGTGCCCCCTCAGTTCCTCTGGGAGTGGTCTCAAGGAACTGAGAGCCTTATTCTAATGGGAGCAACCCCATTCAGCAGAGGATGTTTAATAGGAGTCACACTGCTGACCCTAAACAGGGTTGATGGTACTCCTCCCAGAACAGGTGGAGCCACACGAAGCCCTGCCATTGGTGTCTCTCCCTGGCAAACCAGGAAATTCTGAGATGATGAGTCCCACTCATTTCCTTTTAAGGCATCTCAAGGAGGTAAGGCACCTCCTCTAAGGGGTCAGCCTGAGGTTACCACAGGGATAAATTCCAGGTCATGCAAACAGTCAAGCCGAGGACCGTGAGGATGGAAGGAACCACTCAAATCCTAACAGTACAGACAACACAGAATCCCTCAGGTACTGTCAGCCATAGGTGACCATTTGATAGTGTTAGGGAATTAAAGGCCGTATATGAACAGACAGGCCTCTAAGTCTTGGGAATGTTCATTGTGAGGACTCTGAGCAAGGACTTAGGGGAGGAACCAACCTAGAAGAGAAAGGAACCCACATAGCCCTGCCCCTTTCAGCCCTGGAAATCCCCAGACACAAATAACCGGATATGTCAGCCACTCTCTCCTCGCCCTGTAGGACTCGCATCACTAGAGGGAGGAGTCTGAGATCCTGGCTGAGTGAGGACTCAAGGAGTTGCAAACC